TACTGTGGTGTCTCTCAGTGTACCCGTGGCGCCCCTGCTTTTCATCGGGGAAATGTTGCATGTCCTGCTGAGTCTTTTGCTTTCATAGGGAGTGATTTTCGTGTGCAGGTTTGGTACCAATCCTTCCAGAACCTTCCAAGTGAATATTATCATGTATCTCTCTTGCCTGCGTTCGAGGGAGTACAGTTGTGATACCCACACCAGTGCACCTGGCCAAGTTGTGATCCCACACCAATGCACCTGGTCCAGTCATAGATAATACCTCTCTGACACAGACACAGACACACACACACACACACACACACACACACACAACACACACACACACACACACACACACACACACACACACACACACACACAGGACAGGAGAGATAGGGAGGACTTGGTAACGACATATAAAATACTAAGAGGAATTGACAAGGTGGACAGACAGAATGTTTCAAAGATGGGACACAGCAATAAGGGGACACAGTTGGAAGTTGAAGACACAAATGAATCACAGGGATGTTAGGAAGTATTTCTTCAGTCACAGAGTAGTCAGGAAGTGGAATAGTTTGGGAAGCGATGTAATGGAGGCAGGATTCATTCACAGCTTTAAGCAGAGGTATGATAAAGATAATGGTGTAGGGAGAGTGACCCAGTAGCGGCCAGTGAAGAGGCGGGGCCAGGAGCTATGAATCGACCCCTGCAACCACATCTAGGTGAGTACAACTAGGTGAGTATACACACACACCCACACACACACACTCAATATCGAGCCCATCTCCTGAAGGGCACATCAACCAGATAATTGCTGCAGCATCTGGGCGCTTGGAAAGACTAAGAATAGCGTTCCGATACCTCAGTAAGGAATCGTTCAAGTCTCTGTACACTGTGTGCGTCAGTCCCATAGGCCCATATTAGAGTATGCTTGACCCACACTTGGTCAAACACGTCAAGAAATTAGAAAAAGTGCAAAGGTTTGCAACAAGACTAGCCCCAGAGTTAAGGGGAATGTCCTACGAAGAAAGATAAAAGGAAATCGGCCTCACATCACTGGAAACAGGAGAGTTAGGGAGACATGTTACCGTTTCCTTAAAGAAAAAAAAGTTAAAAACAGAGTGAACCTTTAAAAAAATATGTAAGTTTTATTAGTAAAAAAATACGGGCAAAAGGAAATAAGGTTGGAAAAGCTTTTAAAATTTAAACAGGGAACCGGGTATTTTTAAAAACCCCCCGGGGCCTTTCTGGAACCCAAAAAAGGGGAAACGGTTTTAAGAGTAACTTAAAAATGGTCGGGGCGAAATTTTCCAAATAAAAACCCCAAGGGTTAATGGAAACTACATTAACTTGGCTAGATTTGCCAGATATAAGGTTCGTTTTCAGCTAAAATCGGGATTTTGGGGGGAAAAACCCAGTTTAAATAGTTTTCTGACAGGATGGTAAAACGGGAAAAATTGTGGAAGAAGTGGACCCCGGGGGAAATAAAAAAAGGAATTACATGTGACCAAATTTTTTAGAAAAACCACCATTTTTCCCTAAAGAAGAGTTTTGCTTTTTTTCCCAAAAATAAAGGACTTTTTTTTAAAAAAAGATGCTTCTGGATTTTGCAATAAAGGTTATGGTCCCTTTGGCAAAAAAATTTAAGAAAATAGTAAGGAGGAGGGGTGAATAAAAATCAGGATACAAAAGCTTCTTTTCCCAAAAATCTTTTTGAGATAAATTAAAATAAGGGAGGAAAAAAACTTTTAACGGGAACAGGGGGGGCCAATAAACTCAAGCCGGCGCCCTTTCGGGGCGCTGACATGTGAAGTCAAAAATAACAATATTCAAACTTTTTAAAGTCCAGCAGATGCCCCGGGTATGAATACAGCCCAAACATGAAAAAAGAAATATGAAACGGGAAATAAAGGACCTCCACACTTTACTGATTCGGATCCCAAGACCGAATCAGTTACAAAATCTTTTACGGGACCGGTTTGGGTTTAAAATACCCTCTATAAGGGCCCCACATTACAGATTTAGTAGTACAGGAGTTACTACAGTAAAACTAAAAAGGGCCCCCAAAACTGAAAACAAAAAAACCGGCCCAAATAAAAGTGTTTGAACCTAGGGCCTGTAGAATTACCCAAATATAAAACCAACGGGAAAAAGAAATGGTGTATCGATTAAACCCTTCAAGAAAATGTTCACCCTCTTAAAAAAAAAAGAATAATAAATCCAAGCCCTGCAATATTTAAACCCTAAAATGCACAAGGGACTCAAATATGAAAAAAAATTTTCCCGGGTTTTAAATGTGAAGAGACCGAGGATAAAAGGCAACATGAAATTAAACTAAACAAAAAATTTAAAAACCCTTGGGCAAAACGTTTTTTAAATCCCCGGGGAAGAAAAAAGAATGGCCCCAACAAATGGCAAGAATATATAAACCCCCTTGGGAAAACCATCCAGGGGGGGAAGGGAAGCCACTGGGGCTTGCCTTTAAACCAGAGCCACAGATTTGAATCCAAAAAAAAAAGGCCCCCCCCCCCCAAAGCACGGAAAAAAAACCCAAAAAAATTTATTTGTTTTTTGAAAACAGAGGTCAAAAACCCCCGGGCAACAAAAACCCAAAATACCTTAAATCAGTGATCTCATTGAGTCGAAATCCCCAACATTTCCCTGCCTTTTTTGGAAACCCCAAGTAAAAGGCACTTTGATAATAAAATTAAGGTTTCTTGGGTAGATTCTACTCAGTGCAACTAGAAAAACAGACAACAAGGGGGAAATTGGTTTTGTAAGTAAACCCAGTTATTTAATAAAAATGATTTTTGGTCGAATCTCTGTTTGGGTTAAAAAATTTAAAAAATTTTTAAACTTTATTGTTTAAATGAGGGGAAACAACAAGATACAACTTTTCAGTAGTTCAGGGAACTTTTAAAGTCCCAGTATTGTTTTTTAAGACCTGTCCAAACCCGGGCCCCCAAAAATACATTGCTCCGGGAAAATTCAGTTTAAAAATAAACCCAAAAAATGGAAGACTGTAACTAAGAACTGTAAAAGCAGAAAGAAACTTTAGGGGCCAGGTTAGTGATCAGTTTTTTAAAAAATGGAAACCCAAAAAGAAATGCGACAAATTCGCCTTATGCCCAAAAAAATAAGGGCTAACTGGAAAATACCCTTTAAAATTTTATTCCCCTAATATTTAAGACTTGATTTAAAAAAATTATGTTGAATACAGTAAACTCCCGACCAGAGGGTGAGGTCAAAAAAATTTAAAATTTTAAAAAAAAATAAATATGAGGGATGCTGAAATTTGCGGGAAAAAAAAATATAATAAATGACATAAAACCCTTTTATCGAGAGGAAAGAGCCCCAAAAAGAAAACCCGAAGCATAATTCTGGGACCCAAAAAGGCAGAGGAGGGGAAAAAGAGGGTGAAGGTTTTAAAAAACAAAAGGGGGTTTTCAATTTTAGGAGAAGACGGTCGTAATTAAGTCCTTTTAAAGCCGCAGACTCTTGCATAAAAGAAAAATAAAAAACTGGATAGAGAATTATAAAATGTTGGGGTCTTTTTAAAAAAATTATACAGAGGTTTAGGAAAAAGACAGAGGGAGTAAAAAAAAAAAAAGTGAAAATTTGAGAAAAATCCAAATTTCTTTTTCATTTGCAAAAACCCGGGAATAACAACAGAGACAAAAGACGGGTGTACATCGACCCACAAAAAAATAAATTTTGTGAAATATTTTAAATGCCAGTATGACCCCAATTCAGTTTAGTGAGCTACTTTAAAAAGTCTTAAGAGGGAAAGACTCTAATGAAATTTTCTTTTAAAAGGAAAAAAAAAAACAAAATGCTGCAGACCCTCTTCCTAATATCTGATTTAACGTAACCCCACTTTAAATTCCTTGAAGGCATTCCACTCCGCACCAAGTCAGGTTTTTAAACCCGATTTTCAAGAGCTTTTCAAAACCTTATTCGAGACTGAAAAATTCAAAGGAAAAAGGGGAAAACCTAGGCACTGGAACATACTGCCTTTTATTAAAACCACTGAACTGCCCCACTCCACTAAGGTAGCGTAAAAGGGAACGGGAAAAAAAACAGAACGACAGACCCAAAAGTCCCACTATATTAAAACTTCGAGGTTTTTAAAAAAACAATATTTTCCAATCACATGGAAAACCAGCAGTATGAAACAAAACCCCGTTCCCGTAGGGTTTCAGAAAATGGTCACTCCTGCCCGTTTACAACTGCTGGATAAATTTTCGACGTGGTTTGGATAACATTTGGGGACAAAAAAAAGGGAATTTTGCAAAGTCCCTTTTTTTCAATTTCGGGCCCTGGTAATTGTACACAAATTTCGTTTCAATTTAAAAATAGTAAAAACAGTGAAATCAAGGGGTGCTTCATGAAAAATTTTTTTTCCTCCCGGGGTTTCCCAACCACACTCTTCATCCTCATCCTCATTTCTGACAGCGGGTCACCGATAACAATATGATGTTCATTGAGAACAAATTTCAGATTATAATAATAATACTACTACTACTACTACTACTACTACTACTACTAATAATAATAATAATAATAATAATTTATTTATATACTACAAGTACATGTACATGATATACAGGCCTAGCTGGCATAAGTAACATACTACTATATAAAAAGCTGCTTGTTATGCTGAGCATTTCGGGTAAATTAGGTCAGTTTTGTCCCAGGATGCCACCCACAACAGTCGACTAACACCCAAGTACCCATTTTATACTGATGGGTGAACATGGACGGCAGGTGTCTAGCGATCGAGTCACGGGATTATGGAGGAATGGGGGGTAAATCGAGATCAGGGTACAAGACAAATTCAAGCCACTCATTGTATACAACTCAACATGTAAATGCCATGTGAAAGGGTAGCTACCACTTGGATTTTCCCACAATGGAATACGAGCGTCGGGGTCCTGACGGCACTCACCTCCAGCCTTATTAAAAAAAAAATAGTTAAGCTACACGCTAAGGTGTTGTTCCCACCATGTAACACATACACAATAGGGCAGCTATTTTCCAGAGTGCTCGCACCATGTAACCCATATACAACAGCGCATCTACACAACTGGGTGTGGCGACAGCAGGTTAGCTCACCCAGTATGACGCTAGTGGAAGGGACAGCACTGTGAGGGTCGCGTCTTGGAGCATCCATATGACGCTGACTCATCATCACCACTATCCCTCCGTCCTCAGCTGACTGTCCACCGCCTCCCTCCTTCCGCCCTCCTCCCGACGACCAGAAGGGGGGCTTCCTCACAGGCTTGGGCGGAGGTGGGGGTGGTGGGGGTCGCACCTCCAGCGCCACCGCTGGGTCTCCATCTGTAAAGAAGAGAGGAGGGTAAGGTCAAGATACACAACTAACATCTGTAGCGGCAGCAGCATCCTAGCACCAATATTTTCTTCAACAACCAGGTCCCATCAAAGCTTTTGATGGCCTAATTATAGATCAATGGTTCAGAGAACCGACACGTTGATAAATTAGACACATGTGCAACTCTTGGGTATCTTTACTGAGGAAACGTTTCGCCACACAGTGGCTTCATCAGTCCATACAAAGGATAATCTTGATAATCTTCAAGTTTATCCTTTGTATGGACTGATGAAGCCACTGTGTGGCGAAACGTTTCCTCAATAAAGATACCCAAGAGTTGCACATGTGTCTAATTTATTAACATGGCCTAATTGTAGGTACAACTGCACAAACCCACGTAGAACCCAAAATGACCCATGAATACTAGCATTGGTACCCATAACTTGACAAAATTGATGATCTAAGACATTCTGCAAACCCAAGCACCACCCCGCTGCCAGACGAATACTTAATTAATCCAAGCTCTGAGAAATAAAGCTCTCTCCTCCACTTCACCAGTAACGCAGAAGAAACAGCAACAGTATTAACAAGATAACATCAAGGATGCTGTAACTCAACTTGTCAACCCAGCAGGACCCCCGTGTATCATCAACCCCCCACACCACCGCCCAGGGCCACAACATAACAACAACATCAAACTGGCTGACTCTCTTCAACTCCCCTTCCTTCAGGGGATTCATCACCTCTGTCGATCTCTCAGGTATGACTGACGTTCCTGACACTCTTAAGTCATACAACGTCACCCTAGAGACTAATAATAAGGATCTTAGATCAATACTAAACCTCGAAGAGAAGATAACGTCATCGGGAAGTACTGATTCAGGAAATTCTCTGCGAACAGCTATCGCCAGTCACACCGAGCAAATAACATCTCAGAATACAATCAAGAACTGGAAAATCAACATGAATGCCCGTTTGAATGACTATCTTGATTACCACGATGACAAAACAGATCAAGAAAAGTAGGTTGACGCAGTTATAATTAACAGCTCCCACTTTACCAGAGAAATAACCCGAGCTAACTGCAAAGATACCGCTATCACGATCATTTAAGACCACCTAAATGTTAATGTACAAGACAAATTAAAGAAACACTAGGTAAATAAGGTAAACATTGTGTTATGATCAGATTTCGTTCATATGACACAAAGGATCTAATTAAATCATCAATTAGAATAAAAACTGAGTGTACATCAATGAGTATCTGACGAACAAACGTCAGAAACTTTTGTTCAGGTTGAGAAAACAGTGACAAAATCCATCAGTGCTTCACTCCAGATGGGAAAATTCTAGTGACAAAAACAGAAGTAGGCCGCTTATACACTATCATAAATGAACATGATCTCTCCAACTTCCTTAGAGATGCTGATCCTACCGAGACTGATTAATCAATTCGTCCTTAACATTATTATCTACGTGTAGTGTATGTTGCTACTGCATTATCGCTCAAATCCTTGTACTACCTTTTACTAGTTAGTACCAACTACCTTATACCCTATTTTTTTTAGTGCTATTTCTTGCTTAAATTTTGTGCTACAAGTCAAATCTTACTGTCTAAATTTGTTGAATACCATATTTACTATCTGTCCATTTTATATTTTTGTATTATTATTTGTTTAGTCTCTGTATATTGTTTTAGAATAGTTCTTTACATACCAATACTTTGTACTGCCTTTTATATATTATCATATTACCTTCAGAGCAATATTGAATCCTAAAAGTTGTGCAATTTTGATTTAAGTCTCGTCATAGTCATTATATCAATCCTTATTAATAGTTTCTCTTCTGTTAGTATACATCCTTAATCCTGCATTAGTCATATGATATTCAAATATTTATTCCGACATTAACCTCCTATTAAATGACATACACGATCCTAACAACAACTGCCTTTATTACACTGTTAGTCAGGCTAAGACACTACTCAGTGCCAACAACAACATAACAGTATTTAATTATAATGTTAGATCATTAAGCAAGCACTATGAGGACCTCCAGGCACTACTCAGTTCTCTAAATGTCAGTATGTCTAAAAATATGGTTAAAATATGTTATAAACATCTATTCCATACCTGGCTACACTGCCATACACAATTGTAGACCATACCAATTAAGAGGTGGTACAGCTATATACTATGATGAATTTGAATGTATAAATTCTACTTGCATAAGGGATGAATATGGTGAATATACATTTACTAAATTTAAATCCAAAGATCTTAAAAACCTTTAACAGTTGGAGTAATCTATAAAGTACCTCACTCCAGTATTTACTCATTTAGTGAAAAACTAAGGAACATGATAACTGATGCAGAGGTGAATAAACACCACCTTATACTTACAGGGAACTTCAACATAAACCTCATCCATGACCCTCAAATAACTGAATTCAAAAATACTATGAGCAACTGCTTACTTCTGCCAACTATAGCAAAACCTACAAGAATCTCTGAGACATATGCCTCTTTATTAGACCATATCTGGACAAACACTACATCCCCATTAAAAGCAGGCATAATCACAGATAACACTACTGACCACTATCGCATCTTTCTCATAACCAACTTATGTAAATTGCCTCAGGACACAACTAAGATGACCTTCCGACTACATGACCAGTCATCTGTCAATAGTTTTAATTCAGCATTAAGTAACATCGACTGGCAAAATGAGCTAGCAGGCAACCTCGATATTGATGAATGTGTCAATATTTTTTTTACAAAGCCAAAACTTCTATAACATGCATTGCCTAATAAAAACAAAGCAGATCACAGCAAAGAGACTAAACAGCCCCTGGCTTACAAACAGCATCCTCAAATTTATTGATAAAAAACATCTATATGAAAAACAGTACAGAATGGGTCTAATAACAAAGGATCTGGCAAAAAGTAACTCATCAATACTAACTAATCTAATAAGGAGGTCAAAAACAAACTGTATTACGAAACCAGATTTCATGACATAAGAGTTTATATGAAAAAGACCTGGAAAACCTTATCTGAAATTCTAGGATATAAAAAACTGTCTTGCAACAGTGTGATTAACTTAAACGAAACCAGAAGAACCTCTCCTATAGCCAACAAACTGTCTTTTTCTCGACCGTAGGAACAAAGCTAGCAAGCAAAATCCCAAACACAAACATTCAGCCAGAAGACTACCTCACTGGTAACTACCCAGATACTCTATTTCTAGTCCCAACAAACCCTACTGAAATCTCGCTCATCATCAAAACACTAAACAACTTACCACAACTCATGTATGTAAAATCTCTCATGTATTGTCACCACTTATTGCAACTCTTTTTAACAAATCCATTGACTCTTCCACTTTCCCATCCATACTTAAGACAGCAAGGGTCACCCTGATCCTCAAAGGAGGTGATCCAACGAAATTGAGCAACTATAGGCCTATACCTCTTCAAGGGGGGCTCCTTGGCACGGTGAAGTGGCTCTTGGTTTGAGGAATTAGACCTTTTGGTCTCCTTCCTCAGACCAAACCTAATTACCCCCAGTCCCCCCTCACCATCCCCTCCCACCATCCCACTTTCTTCACTTTCTCCTCCTCCTCCTCCTCCTCCTCCTCCCCATCCCTCCCCTATTCCCTTCCTATTTTCAGCCTTTGGGATTCTTCCCACAGGCACTCTAGTTCCTAGGTAGGGGGAAGGGTACTGGGGACCATCCCATTCTATTGAGATCCTTTGCGGTGGTGTAGTTTGCTGTGGAATCTGGATCACCTGGCGATATCCCGATCCCTCTCCGGTCTCCTGGGGAGTGGCTTTGGGTGTCTTTTGGGTGACGGGTTTATCTCTGGAGGCTACCTTTCGGATTCCAGGGGGTGGTGGCCAAAGGAGGTATGCTTTGTGGTGGGTATCTGGCCACCCTCTCTTTTGTCCATCAAGGTGGCTCGGTGGATGTGAGGTTATTATCCCGGATTGCTGGTTTACTGGCATGAAGGGTAGAGTATATCACGGGCTGCATGCCGCATCTGCACTACTTGCAGTGCAAAGGTCCTCTTGGGCGTGGAGGAAGATTTACAGCCCTTTCATTCCTCCTAGGAGCTATTTCTCCACGTTCCCCCATTTTTTAATTCTTCGTTTTTTATTTTCTTCTAAAAAGAAAAAGAAAAGGAGTGACCTAACCATGGAGTACCCAACCCATGAGCCTGCTCCCCTTGGGCCCCTTTCTGATACCGCATCCTACTCTGACCCTATCTTGCTTTTTGACCACTCTTTGGACACTTCTAATGCCCCTGTACCTATTGCTGGTGCCGTTTTGTTGCCTGCTTCAGGTACCCGGGTTTTAACTGACTCCTTCGATACGTCAGACCTCGGCTCTTCTTTGACTATGCTTCCAGCTTCTCCCTCTACAGTACGGCAATTTTCGAATCGCCCTCCCGTCCCACATTGGACCAACTCTAGTCCCACACCTCAATGCCCACGACAATTACCTGATGCTACTTCTCCGCTTCCTTCTCGTTCTACTCAGGAAAATTGGCATGTCACACACTCCCTTTCCACACTATGTTTCAAAATACACAATGAACAAAGTTTTTTACTTTACGACCGACTTCCTCTACTGCTTATCTTTCCGTCCATGGTAGTGGCAAGTCACTCCTACGTCATGTTGGAAGAGATATATCGTTTCATGCTCTCAAGATCAGTACATGCATCATCACTGTCCAGAATGCTAACCAAGCTGACGATCTTTCTCTTCTTTCAAGTATCAATACTATTCCTGTAACTATTGAAAAACATCATTCCCTCAATTCTTGTAGTGGTACTGTCATTCTGCCCAATGCCATTGTCTAACAGAATTTCCAGACATGTGGCGATGACATTCTGGAACAGCTGGAACTCCAAGATCTCCCAATCCTCAAAGTAGACACTTATGTCCTCCCTGCCCGTGGGCAGAAATGATACCCTTGCAATGTAGTTTGACTAACTTTTGAC